GCACCAAACAAAGTTCAAATGCCAGATTCAAGGTCCTCAACCTAGCCACAATGACTATTTCACATCATAACAATTATTGATTTCATACACCTCCATAGATTCTAACCAAGTATATTAGTCACTGGACTATGAAAAGATCAATATTAAATAATCTTGCTCACTGTTCTTAAACTCTTTCAAAGCATGATTAAGCCTTAAACAGTTTCCAAAATTTAACAGAACAGTGGGATGTCTTCTTGCAGTAACAATATTAGCAAACCACGCAAGTCTACAGATAGTTCCATTCTTCACATAAATACAAAATCATAAAACAAATCTGTCAACTTCAGAAATCAAGAGGTTCTGTGATCAGACAACCCCTTGATCGAATGGAAACTTCCAATGAAGTTGACTATTGACCAACTCTAAGCGCCATTCACACGGTTCTTTGACTCCAGTAGAAGGGATAAGACTTAGATCCAGAAAGAATATAAGAGTATCCAGATGAAAAGGGGTATCCCTACTCCTAGGCCACGAGATAGATAAACTTGCAGTAGTCAAAAAGTGGCTCATTTTCTTCCAAGGCCAGCTATAAGCTCCCTTGCACCTATACGTGGACTATTAATTTTCAAATCACAGAAAATCTCAACAAAATACATTCAGAGGAGGATTTTAGCATGGGGAGATTGCGGACACTTGACCTTACTATACCTCCTTTAGAATTGTGCACCATATTTAAGAAACTAGCATATATTTATGGATAAATAGTTAGGCTTCACCCGCTAAATTACAAATTAAAAATGTGTTCAAACATCCTCTCGAAGAATGTATATATGAACAAACTTACAATGAATATTTATGTTTTTTGCAGAATGCATTTTCATGCCAAATATTTTATTTCGTTACCACGAACAATAAAGTATATATAATGACAATTAAATGGGAAAGTCTACTTTCCTAGTTTTGTTTGATTACAGGCCAGATGAATATCATAAAAAAATAGAAATTCCCCAGTCACGTGTAGATTTTTCCACTTTTCTTTTTCAAAAAGCAAAAAACAACGGTAACATCTCAATTTGTAGTCCGAGGAACCCTAGTCTATTTGGCAACTTAGAAGAAAAATTGATGAATAACAAAGAATACGCAATATTCTTCAATCGTGCAAGCTTTCCTTCATTCTAAGGCCAAAAACCAGATTACCTTCAAGAACAAACCTGAAATTAGATTTTTAAACAATCCAGAAAAAAAGCCGTACCTCCTCGTCGTTCCAATCAAACATAGCTGAGAAAACTGCAACAGATCGCTGAATTGGAGCCCAATTCTACCTCGCACTCAACAATTGACACGAACATCGCCGAATTTCACGGAGGGTTTACGTCAAAAACAACTTCGCATCGGCAAACAAAGCCGTCTGTGCCCGGAAGGAAGGGGGAACAAAGCAACCCAGTTCAACAAACAGAGCTGTCCGTACTCGGTCTTTCTTTCTGCCAGTAAAACAGAGTTTTCCAGAGGCGGGGGGAGAGAGAGAGAGAGAGAGAGAGTCGCAGGGCGGAGCGTGGACCCAGATGGGCATGGTGGCTCACGTGATGGAAGAGACGACACGATATTGATTGGCCACCAAATGAGCGCCATGTGGAGGGGACCGTATCTAAAGTTGTGGCCTGGAATGCGCGATCTAACGCCGGAACGCAACTGGTTAGCAGCTAGATTTTTATTTCAACTTTGGACGTAGTGGAATTTGGGCCGTAGATTAACCGAGCCTCATTTGCACTTCATGTTGGACGCGGGAGAGTCGTGGTAGATATTGTTCTGCCGGTCGCTTTCGTCTTGCTAACTCATCACGAACCTCACTGCTTCGGCTAAGCACCAGGAGTTATTTAAACGGGTAAATTTGTTTTTGCCACAAATGTTAATTTATTGAAGTTTATTTACTTAACCAAATATGTTCGGGAATTTAATAATCAATTGCATAAGATATTTTGTTTAATTAGTTTTCATAATGAAATTTTAAAAGCAAATTCTTTATAAATTTTATTTTTGAAAAAGTTCAAATCAAAATTTTACATTAAATGGCGATATCAATGCGTGCTTTTCTTTTATTACTTTCGAAGTTCAATTGCTATTTCTTCTATTATCATAAAATATCCACGTCACATAATTCTTAGCTGACAACCGTTTCTTTCATTATTGTCTGCATCAAATAAATCATTTATTTAACATTCCGTGGAACAAAATGAATGGGATTTGGACGCGCTCCTCCCCGTGAAAATGAACTAAATTATACAAATTTATTAAATTCTGGTGTAACTCAGTTTGATTTGTTGATAGGTTTTTTATACAATTTAATTTATAATTTGATCACTAAATTCTATATAACATATAATTATTGTGATTAGTTAATTAGTAATGAATATATTAAATTGAACGACTGAAAAAAGTTTTTACATGTCTGATTTTAAGAAAAAAATTGTTATAAAAATAATAAATTTAATACATTTTATTTTTGTAAATTACAAATAATAATAATAATATATTATTAATAGCATTTAAATGTTGAGTTATTCTATAATTTTCGGCTACTTAGAAGATAGATCTGGCCGTCAAGTTGGCAAACAGTAAGCTCCATGAGGTTCGCATGTCACAGTTTTGAAATTTCATTTAATTTTGATTCAACAAACTTCGTTTTGTCTTCATCCTCTTTTATGTCTCCTTCAGTCCCTCCAACCACCGATAACCTTTCTTTTTTTAATTCATTTTTTCCCCTTCCAGTCCTTCAGGATTTGTTGAAAGCCACAAGACTTTTCAATATTTTGTCCGAGCAACATAAAATAAGAACCGGATAAATGTTGGAGGAGGAGGACCAATCTTGCAGTCAGAATCAACCCTGTCGGCCAACTTGGTGGCCTCTTTCAGAAATGCCTTGCAGTCTAATCCACTATTATTCAGGAGTGGGAGCGCCTGGGACCAGAGTAAGGATAATTTTTTATTTTGTTTACTACGTTTTATATTGAAAACGTCAGGGACTGCTACATAATTTTGTAGAATTATATGGGGTTATTACATTCTTTTTCCTTTTTTTTTTTTCTAGAAGATAATGACAGTTGCGCTGAGGGGAAAACTTATAATTTGAAAAGCATTCGGGGTCGTTGCGGGATTTATAGGTTTTCGGAGGAGGTATGCTCTAATTTTTTTAAAAGAAATAAAGACAAAATTTAGATGAAGAATACATGGCTGTAGAAGCCTTCAGAAGCATAGCCGCACACCTCCCTCTTCGCTACTACTGTCCAGGCCTGACAATATGGATAAATAATAAACATTTAATGTTTAAATATTATTTCCAATTTTACGACGGTTGAGAAGTATTGGCAAAAGATAGACGCGCAATGTTTTGAAATTAAAATATTGCTAATGCTTCGTTTTTTGGTTGGAAATATATAATTTTTCATTTTTATTTTTCTTGGGCGGAATTTTTTGCCGAACCATCTGTTTAAAAAGGAAAGGAGCCGAGAGCAGTGGGCCCATCGAGTGCCATTGGGCCTCCAAGAATGAGAATAGCCCAGTATCAAAATAATACGCATTCTGGACTAGACTATTTACAAGATAAAAGGCCCAGTGGCAAAGCGGCAAATAGAAAGAATTGTAAAAGAATTTCTGCAAAAGATCGACTCCACTGGGGATCGAACCCAGAATCTCTGGTTCCGTAGACCAGCGCCTTATCCATTGGGCCATGGAGTCAGATACGATGGTTACTTCTATTTATATTAATTATTATGATCAACTAAAAATTCCTTTCTACGCACATCCTTTTTTTTTTTTTTCATTTTTAAGTAATATCAATTTCTTACGCTCTTTCCATGCATATATATATATATATATTTTTTTTTTTCGCTTTTATATTATATAATACTTAAAAAATATATAAAATTAAGATTCATAAAACATACTCTATTTCCAACTACAATTCCATATATATATTTCTCAAGTCCATCTTCCTTGCGCATCAGTATTTTTCAAAAAATCTGACTAGAATTGGTCAAGCGTGGCTGCCTTTTTAGCCAACATATATAAGAATTTAAAATGGTAGATAATGAGATTTAAAAATAGATTTTGTTCTGTTTGTTCTAGTATGTTGTTAAAACCAAACATTTGCCCTTAATTTGATCTTAAAATTCAAACTTTGTAAAAGAAAAAAGGTGAAAACGAGCTATTACATAACACAAACTCACTTATTTTTGAACCCGTGAAAATGAATTTTGCAGATTTCTTTCTAATGAGTGCAATACAGCAAACCTCAGTCCACGATTCAAACAAGTCAATATTAAAATCGTATAGATTTTCATTTTGAATTCATTCAATCATACCATTGTCTAGCCTTTGTTAATATTGGAGAGGTAAGAAATAAAATTACGTCAGCAGAGGCTCCCCTGCTCCGGAGGAAGGCTCTGTTTCAGTAGGGAATTTGTCTTACAAAGAAAAACAAGAGTGACTTTGTTCATCCATTACAAAGATAAACATTTCTCACATTTCTCATACCATATCATGGATGGAATTGGATTTGTAATTGGAAGAACATAAATGAAAATTTTTGAACTAATCCATGACAACCGGCTGGTTAAGCAATTCTAACCCGGCCGGAGAATATTGCTTCAGAAGAATGCGTGACAGTTAAATGGATTTTCGTGAAGCCAGTGCCTTATAATTTTCTGTTAGTATGGCTGATAAGATCAGTTCAATCTTATCTCTGTTCTTTCTCTTTAAAGTTCTACAATTTCTTTAACCAAAGTCTGGGAAACAACATTTCACTTTAAAAGAGCTTCTTCTTCCGGAGGGAGGCTCTGTTTCAGTAAGGAATTTGTGTAATGATTTGATGTGAAAGTTAAGTTCCAACCATGAACAGACGACAGTTATTTTGATTTCTCAAATACGAAACTCAAGGCTTGAGATGCAATAGATAATAATACATGGTAAAACACAACATGCGAGACGATAAAAACACTAAACACACTTTCCTTCTCTTAATTTTAGTAGCATCTAGCAAGCAAAGCAAGCAAGAAATCTTTGTAGTTTCCTTTAGCTACGTGTTCAATCTTCTCTGTAAGAGTAACTCCAATTTGCTTCCGATACTCTTCTCCAATCAGTTTCACATCCACAGCTGCACGGGTCACCACTACCCGAGTCAGACCCTCTTTAGTATTTTCATCTGCACCGGGTTTCATCGCTGCATCCAGAACCTGAAAAGGGATGAATATCAATGTTGAATTACTCAAGTCCAAGTAAATATTCCTTAACAACAAAACAATCTTATAATTCATCACCCCCTTACCCTAACAAAGTAAGTTTGAGGGGTAGATAGGCATTGGAGAGTATCCCTTAAGAGTGGATCGGAAACAGCCTCCTGGATTTAAACACGTAGAGTTAATAAGTAAAATGGGCTTTTACAGAGAAATTTTAGCACCAAAATTCTCACAATTGTTTCACACACACCATTGTGCTTATTATCCAGATTTCTAAGTGGTGAGTTCAAGGGATGTATGCTGGTTGTACCTCAATGTTCCTGCTGGAGATCTCCTTGAAGTGTTTGAAAACTACCCTGAGATGTGGCTTGCTTCTTGTTGACAGAATCCTCACTACCTCTTCATCTGCAATTAGACTCTTTCCATCAACCTTTCTAATGGCATTATATAGTATTTTGGCCTCAGATTTTGGAGCATCTTCATGAACCCGTGGACCTTCATACCGATAGGAGCTAACAAGGGCCACCAATAGCTGTTTGGTGCCAAAGAAAATGAAAGAAAATTTTACATTACCATTGTCAACGCTTTGCTTTAAACAGAACAAAGTTTATCTCTGTTCTCCTATTATAGTTTTCCCTTGTTGAAATGAAAAGTGAGATTGTAGGTGAAACCTTGCGAGGGATGCCGTTGACATTTAAGGCAACATCTTCTTCAATGGATCGATCGAAGAGACAATGGTAGGCCTTTCTTGCTCCTAACAGCGCTTTGGATGATCGAGTGCATGCTATCTCTGTTATCACATTGTATGATTTGGGCCCATCCACCACCGCGTTCCTAATCAGCCGAGCATCTCTTTCCCATTCATGCGTTGTCCACAGCACCACAGCGCTCTGATTAATTGCAAAAGTAAATAAATAAGTTAATTAAGCCCATTAAACCACTAAATTTTCTAACTCACCAATACACCAAATTAAGTCAAAACAAACAAATTTTCCCTGATAAAACTGCAGAATTCACATGCTTAAACAAAAGTAATCTGAGTTATAGGTCACCTTCAAACGTCGAAATTCATGGTCGAGATACTCAACAAATTGCGGCTCACATATCTCGAAAAGGTGCTCATCATCCTCTCCGAAGAATTCGGATTCCTTCCTGAATGATTTAGCATGCTCAGGGTGCCATTTCCCCAGTATTGCTATCATTGACTTCTCATCTACCCCAAGACCTTTCTTCCCCCAATAGTAATTCCAAAACCAAAAAAAAAAAAAAAAAGAAGGAAGAAGAAGGGTCAAAAATCAATTTTTAGTAAATTAAAGTAAAAAGAGAGAGTTAATTATTAATTGAACTCTGGGTTACAGAATGAAGAGCATATTGAGTTATTAACTAAGTTGAGGCTTTAGCTAAAGTTATTCAAAAAGAGTATCTGAATATCAGTGGCCTTTGAATGAACGAACTTACGAAAAATAGATAAATAATTTCCTAATTAAAATAAAAACAAACAGAAAAAAGAGGGTGAATGCACCACCTCTTTGGCTTTCTATTCCATAATTAAACATGAGTTAAGATTTCAGAGAGATAGAGTGAGAGAACCTGAGAAAGCACTGTTAAGGATTTCAATCTCATTGCTCACAGCCATTTCCACTCTGCTATGTTTTGCAAGTTCTGAAATCTCAAGGCAACTTAGGATGTTGGATATGAAGAACTAGCCTGTCATGCTGTATTTATATCAGACTACAGGGGTAGTTGGGTTATTTAGGAGGCTGCCTTTGGATGTTCACATGCTGCAAAGACCACTCTGTTGCCGAGAATATATTAATTGACATCCTAGTCCCCTGCAGGCGCTCTCAACAACTGGTAATATATTTAGCAAAAGCACCTCCAGAATAAGTGAACCAATTTTATTTCCATAAATAATTGTTTTTTGCAATTCAGGCCCTACATTTCGCTGTATTTATGTTGACTTCCCATGGAAGACTTCCTATATCTTATTTTTGTCTTCCAATTAGAAGAAAGTGATTACGAAAATCTTTTTCTCTTTCCAGTTCATGTCACCGTTGGAAAGCATCTTATACAACATCTTATACCTAATTTTGCCTTTTCTTTTCTTTTGATTTTTTTTTTGGGGCTATTTTTTAAAATTTTTAACTTCTTTTGTGCTTAATCAAACAATCCAATTCTTAGCACTACAAGAAAGCATCCGACCCTACTCCGACGCATGAGAACAAAGATTGCAATTCTTTTCTTTGAATAGTTAATGCAACCAAATATATATATATATATACATGTACATACATATATATATAAATATATTTTCCCCAATAATATTTAATTTTTACAGCTACTAAACATTTTCTTGACATAGCATATGTGTGTTACACTTGCATGGGTGGATGTAACTTTTTACCAAAGGCAAGAAATTATTAGTTTGATAGGATGTTGACATCGTTGCAAGTGCTTGAACTTTTATTGGCCATAGCTATGACATTAATAAATATATTTAACTGCAATAATTAATAAAATTTTCAAGAAACATTAAAAGTATATTATATTCCACATATAATTTACATATGTTCCAGTTTACTGAATGCTCTCACAACGAGGGAAAAATACAGCATTTTACTTGGTACATAAATCAATTTAAAAAATGTAATTTTTTTAAATAATTAATTCACCTATTTTTTAAAAAAGAGCTTGTGCACTCATTGGTGTCACATGGTCAATTATTTTAGGTGATGGATAAGATATGCTTGTAAGTGGTATTAGATTTAATAAGCTGGCTAATTGGATATCATATTAAACATATTTTAGTTTTACAGATTCTTCTTTGTTGTTTTATGTTACAAAGCATCTAACGCTTTTGCGAGGGTTGGGTAATAACCCTAATTTTTACCAAATTAATTGAGGAATTAGTTAATTAATGCATTGAGGGACTTAATTGCATCAAACAAAAGGAATCAGGCTTACTTAGAATTGTAGAGGTAAATGAAGAAATTAAAAAGAATCGGGGGTTTAAGTGAAAAATCAGGAAGTTTGAAGGCTTAAATTCAAATTGTTGGGGGTTAAGGTGAAAGAAATTAAACAAGGAGGACTAGGAGGGGAAGGCGCTTGAGTGCAAGGGCCGAATTGGAAATGCATAGGGAGTAGATTGGAAGAAATAGGAAATTAGAGGGATTAAATTGAGAAGGGCCAAGACTTTCAGTCGACCACCGACCAAATGCTTTGGAAGCAAAAATTGGACAAATTGATGTAAATTAACCACCATAGGTTCTATATAGAAACTCAAAGGAGGAAATAGAAGAATTTCCCTAGAGAAATTTGGCCTTTTTCCCTTTCTATCATATGAATTTCTTATAATAACTTTTGTGAAAGCCGAATCCTCTTCACCAGAGTTTTTGCTATTTTGCTTGGAGATTTTGTCAAATTGATCCTAGAAATCACTCCATTGGCATTGGTTTTCAAGTTTCTATCCATTGATTGAAGACCGAGATTGAGGTATGAATTAATTTTCAAGTTTTTAAGCCTCCAAGTCGTTTTACAGACAACTAGCTCAAAACTCGGGTTTATAGGTAAAACAAAAAGGACCTAGATGGCATTCAGGTTTGTACCAGTTTGTCTCAGGCAAATTGAGTCTGATTGGCTTAGGAGGACAAGTCTAACTCAAGTGAGCTAGTCCAAACCAGTTTAAAAGGTTATTCAGCCAGTTTAACTCAGTTCTAGACAGTTGGGTCCAATTCAGTCCGGTTCTAAGATTTTTAGTTTGGTTCAGTACGGTTTTAAGCACCTATAATCCGATTTAGTTCAATTTTGAGTAGATATAAGCCCGTTCAGTCTAATTTTAGTGGTTTTTGGACTAGTTCATTTCAATTTTGTGGTTTATTTAACTAAACTAATCCGATTTTAGGGCTTTAAGGTCAGTTCAGTGGGGTTTGAAGTTGGTTCAATGGTGTTTTAGGTCGATTCAGTGATATTTGAGGCTAGTTTAGACTAGTTCAGTGGAGTTTGAGATGGTTCAATGGGGTTTCAAGCCAGTTTAGTAGTATTTGAGATCGTTTCAAGGGTGTTTGAAGCCAATTCAGGCTGATTCAATAGTATTTGAGACCAGTTCATGCTAGTTTAGTGGTGCTTAGGGCCAGTTTAGGTTGGTTCAGGGTATTTGATATTGTTCATTTTGGTTTAAGGGTTTTTGCGTAAGATTAGTTCATGTTTTCAATCTATTTTGAGTTCAGAACATAGAAAATGAGTCTCAAGATGCGTGACAAGGTTTTGAAATAGGATTAGGAACTGATTTCAGTAATTGAGCTCTTAATTAATTAAGTTTTAACTTTGATGTTGATGTTTTGCTATTGTAATTGTACATACATCTAAGGATATACATTTTGATCGTTCAGTTATTGTTTTGAAAATCAAGCCTTTCGATTTCATTTGTATTGTGAATAATAATACTTATTCTATATATGTATTTTGAAAGTTTATCCATTATCTACTACAAAAATGAGTTTTATGATACGAATAAATTATTGGTTATAATATGATTCATCAGTTTGAATAACAAAACCTAGGGCAGATATTCGAAATTGTTTTGAAAAGTAGTAGCTGATTTTGAAATATTACATACTTTTGCATCTAATCTAAAATAATACATATATGTTATTTGTTTGAAAAATGTTTGAACCTTATTTTATGTATATAGTGGGAGAAATATGTTCTGTTTGTGATATCTCTACTCTAAGATACTCAACCAGTGATCTGATATAATTTGTTGATACGAGATTTTGTTCTAGTATGTGGTATCTGATACTTGCGATATGATATGCTTTGTTGTGAGAAAAAAGCTCTGATATGATTCTGTTCTATTATATGATACCCTTGGCATGATTGCTTTGCCATTGAGATGATATTTTATTCTAATGCTTCCACTTAATTTTGAGTATTACGACACATATATTATGATTTTTGATGATATACTTTAGTTGCTTACTACCTAAATTATACATTTATGATTTTGGCATGTTTTACAATATTTGTCTTAGTATAACTAGAATTTGTATTATCATTTACTAAGTTTTATTTTCACCCCTTTTCCAATATTTTTAGATTATAGCGTTGGTTCACTTTTTCCTACGCATCATTGAACGTGTACGTATGGTTTCTCTAATGTGCCCAAGCCTGCAAACTGGCAATGTGGTTTATTTTTATTTGTACTTTAGAGTTGTTTCATTTATTTTCAAACAAGATCCTTATATTTGTATATATATTTGATGTTTATATCAGATTTGTTAAATTATAAATGTCTATTTCGTCTAAGGCTTATTGAGTTTGGTGATACAGTTTTAGTACCAATGACATACCTGGTGTTCAGGCGTGACAAGTTGAAAAAGAATATCATTGTTATCTATCTGGTTATATGCCATTACCGCTATTACAAACCCAAAAAATGTGTAGCATGGTATTCGTTGGTAGGTAGATCTAAACAAATTAGCATGTATAGTTTGAAAGTTCAAAACAAATGATATGTTTCATTTAATTTTAAATAAAATGTGAAAAGTCATGGTAGTTGGAGATATATTGTCGACATGGATTGTTTAATATGATCATAACTTCAACTAATAATTAATTTTTTAGTTCATTCAAAAAAATATTAACATGTATATGGAAATTATTATGTTATCTGTCTCATGTAAATAAAAATCTTTATTGTGACATATATGAAGAAAATAATAAAAATTAACATATTAAAATTCCCAATTGATTTTATTACTACTTTTAGATAGGGGTGTTCATGGTTTTAAAAAACCGAACCGGACCGAATCGAACCGTACCATACCGTACTGAAAGTTATGTTTTTTTTTTATAAATATTATAGGTTTTGGTATTAAGTAATATCGTACCGAATATTTTGGTATGGTTTAGGTTTTAGAAATTAAAAACTAATAAAAAAACCGTTCTGAACCGAATAATATATATAATAATTTATTAAATTATTTATATTTTATATGAAATATTTAAATTTTTAAAAATTAAAATCAATTTAATAGTAAATTAAAAAATTAAAACAAGAAAGACTCGTGTAAAAAATAGGTATAAATATGGGAATTGAAGTGTAAAAAGAAGAAATATATTTAACCTTAACCCCAAATTTTGTTTTGCTATAGTCCATGTTATGTAATCTCAGATTTTGTTTTGTTGTGATCCATGTTATGTAATGGGTTTCGACTCTAATAGTGTGGTATTCAAATAGCAAGGTCATAACTCAATTTGATGATATAATTTTTAGTATGTTTTGAGAGTTTTGACATTCTCTTACTTGGTACACTGAACAAATTATTTCATTTTTGATATACATAAAGTATGATCTTATGAAGGAGTTAGAGACATCTGATTTTGGATTAGAGATTGTGAGTATTGGAAAGTTTTAAAGTTTTCAAATCTTTCCTTTTATTTGCTAACTAGTTTGACATTCATAAAACATGATCATATGAAGGAACTAGAGACATTTAATTTTTAATTAAAAATTATGAGTGCTAGTAGTTTTAAGGTTTTCTAACTTTTTCGTTAGTCTCTAATGGCTTGTTTGATAGAATGTGAGTTTAAGGAAAGCGAATTTGGAAAAAGTGGGTTTGCTAAAAGTAGGTTGTG